TTTCTGTAATTTAATAAATGTTATTTCATGTTTTTATTTTCCTCTTTAATTTGATCAAATTATTTGATTTTTAATCTCTTTTATATTCATTATTAATTCATCAATTATCTTTGATTTTCAGTTTCTCTCATTATTTTATTACTTTAATCATTTATTATTTTCTTATTCTAGGATTTATTTTAATAAAAGGGTTTGATTTTTAGTCCCGTTTAATAATTATTGATTTTCAATAGTTTTTTACTTTTATTTTTGTATTTTTATAAAATATTTTAATAATTTTTGTCTCTTTATTTTTAAACTATTGAGTAATAAACAGTTTTACGTTTTGTGATGTTTTTATTTATTATTTTAGTAATTTTTAATTAGTTTTAATGGGTTTTTTCAATAAAATGTTTGGATTTGATTTATTATTAATTTCATATGTTTTAAATTTTCTTATTTTAGTGTGTTTTCATTATTTTCTCACACTTGTTTAATACATTTTTTGTTAAATCTCTTGTTAATTGTGGATTTTATTAATTGTATTATTTTATTCTTTTTATTTGCTTTATTTATTAGTGTGTTTATTTTATTATTTTTTATTTTAATTCCCTTTTTCCTATTCTAGTGTTTATTTTAATTAAAAATAATTATTTTAAGCACCTTTTATTAATTATTGATTCATCAATTATTTTTGTACAACTGTATTTTAAACAATTATTTAAATGTTAAATTAGTTCCTCACACTGGTGTTTCATTTATTAAAAGTTTAGATTTAGTCTCTTTATTATTTAATCAATAGTTTTATGTTTTGTACTTTAAAAATATTTAAGTTTTATACGAGTGTGTTTTACCAGTTTTATTCATTTTTATCTTTATTTTTATATATTTTTATTTGCTTCATTTGCTGGTGTGTTTATTGTTATCAGTTTCTTAAACTGCTGTTTATGGTAAAATCTTGTTTATTAATTATGGATTTGATCAATTTTTTTGATTTTGATTATTGTTTGTTTGTTTCTTATATTAGTGTGTTCTTTCTGAAAATAATGTTGATTTTTCACTCCTTATAAATGTGTTTTATTATTTTATTATAACAAAACAAATAACAATATTAACAATTATTCAGATTATTATTATAATGTGTTCATGTTATATAAAATGTTTGATTTTTAAGTCTCTTTTTATTTATTATTGATTGAACTGTTTTATTAATTTTAACTTTTTGTATTTTTATTTTTAATATTGTTTTTATAATTCTATAATCATAATTTTACTCATTTCTAAAAATAATTATATAATCTTAATAGTTTTTTTTTTAAAAGATCTGATTTTAAGCTCAATTTTAATGATTATTAATTAAATCATTTTTAATTCTTTTTGTCATTTGCAAAAACAATATTTAATTTTTTTATTAGTTTTTATTGGACTATTAATTTGATAAAAATGTTTGATTTTTAAGTTAAATTATTTAATTATTATAATATAATAATTATAATTATTATAATAATTATAGTTAATTATTAAAATATTTTTCATTAAGCATTGATTCATCAGCTGGTTTCTTTTACACTGTGTAATTTGTTTTGTTAATATTTTAATAATCACCTAAATAAATAATAAAATCATAAGTGTGAGTTTATTATCACATGACGAGGGCCAGACAGAATCTCCGGACATTTTTTGTTATTTCTGCGCAGAATTTTGGTAAAAATCTGCAGATTTATGCTGAATGATTTTGGGAATAACATAACTAAAACCTTAACATATGAAATAAAAAGGTAATATCTTCATAACTTTTATTTAATTTTTACAATGCAAATCCATTTAGATCCACTTATTTAGTAAACAAAGCAAGTCTCTCATATAATATCTCTACTAAACGACAGAAAATATGACTTTACACACTGTATTGTAAATAAATCATGATTATTTTTATATTAGTCAATAATATTACTGAAATTAATATAAAAACTGAATAAATATACATTTACACACATTTACACAAGTAAACCAGTAGAATCAATGATGAGCTAAAAATCTGCAGAATTAAGCGAGTGCAGATTCTGTGTGGGCCTACACATGACTCAAATGTCTGAATAGTGCTGCTTTATTTATTTATTTATTAATGAATAATATCTATATGGAGCAAACTCTTATGAAAAGATGTTGAAGCACTTTCTGCAGTGAGTGAGAGCAAAACAACAGCAACTCTTGTGAGACTTTTCTCCTGCATATACTGAACTCATTTCACACAATGTACTTCTTGTGCTCCAATAAATCCCTCATCCTGCACGTTTCTGTCTATTATTTCACAATTAGTAAAGAAGTGGTGTGTGAACAGACTAGAATAGCTGTTAGAAAGCTTCAGTATACGTGATCATCAGACTGCTGCTCCACAGACAAGGAGAGGGAGAAAAGCACAAGACATGGACTCAGAAAAATCATTACAGAAACGTCATTTTGCACCATTTCACCATCAAATTCAAGACATAAACTCAGGAGATGTGTGGCTTTTGACCTGTTACTATTCTGTATTGCTCCAGGACTAATTTCATATATTTGATTATGAAGTAATAAAGTGTTTAGAGCGGTGCATTTTTTATATTACTGAAGCATCGATAACATTTTAAACTCGCATTATAAACTCTAGATGATGGATAATTAAGCTCAAAGTGTCTTCTTTCCAGAGATACATGAACTGTGAATGTAGAGCACATTATTCAGCAGCTGTTACTGTTTTTTGAGAAAGTTTCTCTGATAGTGAGGGAGAGAAGGACACTGATATAGTCTCTGCAAACTTTCTGCAGAAATCTAGTTTCGCATGCTGTCTTCATCAATCTGAAATATAAACTCATGAGACACTTGACTTCCAAGGCTTATTTTTCTAGGCTTATTACATTAATGTTTTCCTGTGCTTGTATATGCAAAGACAAACACTGAACACAATATGTTTTTCTCATGACTTCTGTAAGAACTGAAATATTACAAACATTTTTGATGTCTTTGACAATTCAAAACATGAGCTGAAAACAGGGCCAATGGACTCCACAACCCACCAGGGGGGAATGCGGGAAAAACCAGTTCCTGCTGCATTTGCATCTGAGTATGCTGAAACTCAGCTTCATCCCCCCAACTCACACATATGGTCATTTCAATGTTTTAGATTAACCAAACTGACTTTAACCATCATGTTTGATATCATTTGAAATGTCTCAGTGCGATTGGTACAATGGTCTCATTCTCTCAGAAACAGACATAATCAACACAATAAATATATAACTTCGGACATCTTTTAAACCACTGTGAAGGGTGTGACTTTTTCCTTTTGTTATACACACACACCCCCTTCCTTGAGGGAATTCTTGGATTATTTAAGGTAAGGTTTAAGAAAGACTCAGGGCGATTCTGCCTAACCAGATCAGCCCATAACATGGAGTCTGCTCCTAGTTATGTATATTTTTGAAGTCAGGTATGCATCTTTCATCTTGAATTTATCTTTGATAATTTGATGTTTTGTATTGATCATTTATGAATTGACTGATTGAATTGGCATAATACATTTACCTGACTAATAAATTGTAATGTTTGACCATATTTTGCTCACCCTGTAATTATTAGTTCAGGTAGATTACGCTGTATCCTTGTTTCCGCACGTCTTGCGTCAGGTCAGTAGATGGACTAAAATCCAGTTGAGATGGAGCATTGGGCACACTAATTGTGTTTTAGCGATCCGGCTGACTGTTGATATTGATTCATGTGAACTTAGGTGGAAAGGGCGATAACTTCCGTCTAGGTCAACAAGGTGTTGCACGACTAACCTAGATTGGGTACCCGACCTTTGTTTGAAGGTAATATTATTCTAAATTAAGTTCATATGGGAAACCATGGGCTTGGTGAAAACCAAAGTTACTATAGAGTCCAGTAGTCGGGTACATTTATATTAATGCCCTAACCTCTAATTAGAAATGATGATTGTCTTAACTCAAAGGTGTACATCTAAGCGGGACTAACTAAAGTATTTTAGAACGAGCGCGCTGGTAGCGGCCATCTAAAGTATTAGTCAATTTACCTCTGTTTAATATTCAAGACTGACCGGAGTGTGACCGTGAGGGACGCCTTCGGCCGAGGCGATTTCTCTGAGCGACATGAGCACCCGAATGAACGAATGTAATAGTTACTAGTGAAGACAAAAGGTTCAAACATTTATCTAAATTACATATTGATATAATCTTCTTAATGTTTTATAATTGGAGTCAGATAAAACGAGGATAAATATATTAATATTCTAAACCACCTCATATTAAAATTGGAGTCAGATATGAGCTAAGTTTAATATAAATCAACATTGTGCACTGGAAAGACCGAACATGCAGTGAACCTTCATCCACCAGTGGACACCGGCATTGGGCCAACTGGGTGGACCCTACACTTCATAATGTATAACCTTTTATATATTTAGCACTTCTCAGATGGAGCACAGTAAAGCTCACAGCGTCTTCTTTCTTTCCACTGATCCCTCATTTGTGTTTGCAGTTCACTGGGGTCAGGAAGTGTTACTGTTTAAGTTAGGCAGGTGTAAATCCCCATCAGTGAGCGCCGCTGGCTAACAGTAAAGGTGTTTTACTTTTTCACTCACTTTGAGTGTCTTTCACTGATGATTTTGCTGTTGATCTTTCTGAATCTCGTATCTAAACACCACCGACACATTCAATACCCCTGAAGCACATTTTGATTGATGTTGGATTTAATGATTAGTTTATTTTTTTATTTGAGTGCGTTTTAATAAAGATGTTTGATTTTATCTCACTTTATAAAATAAATGATTTTATTATCTGTTATTGATTTTTACATTTTGTAATGTTTTTTCCTCCACACATCAGTCTGAAAACCCGTAATTTAGGAAAACAAACAGATATGACTGAGCTCCTGATGACTGAAGCACTGATTAAACACACAAACACAAACACAAGCGGCTCTAACAGTGAAATTGGTGAGTTTGAGCTTCAGTTTTCAGAGAATCAGTGGAGATCTGGATGTTTTAGAAAAAGCCGCCATTGATAAAACTCTGCAGTTATAACAACCTCACGTAATGACAACTAAACATTCAGTATTCATCAACTTTTCTGTGCTGCATGAAAGTCAATTCAGCCAGAGACCTACAAGCTGTGCAGAGCAAACACAACACACAACTAGCCAGCTTTCATCAAATGTGCAACAATTTTGACAAAAAGTCATATAAATGAATTTTCTTCCCAAAAGTAGCGCATTTTCAAGATCCAGTATATCGTATATCACACACAGACACACAATAATGCATGTGCTATGATGATTTGCATCTTCTCCACACCTTCACCAAAGCGGTTAAAGAAGTAAAGATGAAGAGAAATCAGCAGGTGAAGCAGAGAGTGAAAGAAGACGTAAAAGCAGCAGTTTATGAAGCAGCAGCAGTGAAATATTACAGCATTTCCCATCAGTTCAGGACTTCAACCATTGAGCAGCAGAGCACACACTCCACACAGCAGCGTATTGGTAGAGAGGAGACAGAGCCATGAAGCCGATTATGATATGAGGATGAGTAGATGTCATGATGAAGAGTCTACAGTCTGGAAAAGGCCTCCAGTGGGCTGTTTATCTACTTTTCTTGAATTAAAGCACTTACTTGAGTTTGTAGGGGTGTTGGAGTTTGTCAGAGAGCAGTTGGAGTCCTGCTTCTCCTGGGTGATTGTAGCTCAGATCCAGCTCTCTCAGGTGTGACGGGTTTGAGTTCAGAGCTGAAGCCAGAGCCGCACAACCTTCCTCTGACACCATACAGCCGGATAATCTACAACAACAGCAAGAGCTCATGTTAGTGTGTGAAGGAGTGGATTTCCTGATGGATGTCTGCTCCAGGATGGAGTAACACATATCCTTTATCATGTCTTTATAATTATTCATAAAGGTGAATGTTTAAGGGCCTGTATTATATGATGACTGTAGTGTCGTCCCTCTTCAGAGTAAAACTAAAGTTTTGTCTCCTCAGGATCTTCTGGCCAATCCAACAGGTCACTGAGACGTCTCATGTGGAACTGGACATTTGAAGTTACCTGTACAGCAGTCACTAGATGTGAATATCACTGTGTGTTGAAGAATAAATGATTAGAATATTTGAATAATTTATACGCTTCATTATCTGACAGTGGAGAAATGTTTATTGGTGCAGACATGTAGACGAGCTGAATTTCACTTCTAATCATCCTGAACACAGAAATATCCTCCTCTCATGTCTGACCTTTGAATGCTTAAAGTCTGAGTAATGATTAGAGATATTGTTCAGAATTGTTCACATGAGGAAATATTGAGGTTAAAACAATCAATCAGGTTAAAACAGCTACTGTATATGTATGACACAGTTAGTGACGTATGTTAAAGCAGTGTTTCTCAATTGGTGGGTCGGGACGCAAATGTGGGTTGCGGGAACAATTTCAGTGGGTCGCGGAGTGTGTGTTCAAAACACAACAAAAGTTTAATATTTCACTTGTTTTGCTTTTATCTGACTTTTATTTTGAAATGCGCGTGCGACAACACCATTGGTATATGCCGAAGCTTGCTAATGGGACTTTTAATTTGCCAGTAACCTGGGACAAGCGATTTCGGCGAACTGTATGCAATGCAAAAACCGGTGCGTTTAAGGTCTGTTTCCTTTAAAAATCTCCACTAGCTGAGTGATATCTGATTTAAAGTGGGTCTCAGATTGTACAAGAAGCACTGCATTAAATAACATTTCCCCCACCATGTCTTTATAATATGAGCATTTATCTTACAACAGTATATTCAATGGAGCGTCTGCGTTAGCCTGCCGATTCTGACGGACGCGTGCAAGTAAACAGCTTTTTGTCTCATTTTACGCTTGAGCAACTAAATGAATGCCAAAGTTTTTTAACTGAATGTATTTTAATGACATTACAACATCGATGCTATAAAAGGAACTGTAAAAAATTGAAAAAAAAGTTCACAATAACAGCTCAGCGGAAGTTTATCAGTATGGGAAAAACACTAGCTCGGCATATACCCTATTGACATGTGAAATTCCAGCGCAAGTACGGCCCCGAAAATGTAAAGTGTGGATTTACATATATTGACGACAAAAAAGGCTTAAAACCTCAGTGTGTCATATGTAGTGAGGTGCTTTCACAAGAGAGCATGAAACCTAAATTAAAACGACATTTAGAAACCAGACATCCCAGTTGCAAGGACAAACCTGTGGACTATTTTCTAAGACAACTCCAAAAGCTGAGGGCATCCCAAAAGTGCCTAACATCTTCATGTTCATAACAAGTACAAGTACATCTTACTGTGCTCACCGTGTAGCAAAGGCCAAGAAAGCCCACACAAAAGCAGAACGGCAAATAACTGGTGATTATTATAAAATGGTTATGATTATTTTAATAATTTTACTTCAGTTTGCTGGTTTCTTTTCTGTTCAGTTCAACCAGATCAGTGTTAAAGTTTTATAAACAGTTCAGTTTAGTTAATGGTACCTTAACTTTTCCTTACCCTAACCATTTGCTGTTTACAGTATTTGACATTTTTACTCTGTAATATTTCTATGATTTGATACATTTTGTTAAATGACAGCAGTAAAATAGGGTTTATTTGTAAGTCTTGGTGATTTTCCTATGATTTATCTGTCATTAGTTGTGTATGTTAACAAACAAATACAAATGAATCATAATTCCTAAAATTATATTATAATTCCTAAAAATTTGGTGTGAAAATGTGGGTCCCATGGCCAAACCAGTTGAGAACCCCTGTGTTAGAGTATAATTGTTGCTGATTTGAGACTGTAACCGGAGCGGCCTACAAACTCTCTGTGAGTGTTGAAGCTTCTGGCTTCTGCTGATGAAACTGTAAACTATCTTCAGTAAACTTTCTTTGATTGAATCTCTGACTCCACATCTTCTTCATCTGACTGCTCATTTTTGGGTTAAAACTGTCCTCAACACATGCTTCTCAAAGATATACAATATAATTTTAACTCAATATAATATATATTTTACAGAGCATACAATAACTAAAACAACATGTTGCTTAAACTGGCATCACGGTGGCTCAGTGGGTAGCACAATTACCTCACAGCAAGAAGGTCGCTGGTCCGAGCCTCAGCTGGATCAGTTAGCATGTCTGTGTGGAGTTTGCATGTTCTCCCAGTGTTTGTGTGAGTTTCCTCCGGGTGCTCCGGTTTCCCCCACAGTCCAAACACATGCTGTATAAGTGGATTGGGTAGGCTAAATTGTCCGTAGTGTATGTGTGTGAATGAGTGTGGATGGGTGTTTCCCAGTGTTGGGTTGTGGCTGGAAGGGCATCCGCTGTGTAAAACATATGCTGGATAAGTTACGGGTTCATTCCGCTGTGGCGACCCCATATTAATAAAGGGACTAAGCCAAAAAGAAAATGAATGAATGAATGAATGGATGTTGCTTAAACTAATATGAATAGTTTAAGGCTGGACTGTATAGCTGTATATTAGCTAACAGAGCAACATGTTGTAATTATAGTAGTCAGAAGACACATGAAGAGAAAGCACTGTCTGTGTTTTACTAAACCTAGACAATCGTTTTGTTGTAATTGTGAATATAAATGATTAAAAATAGACCCTTTACAGTTTTCACATCTGTGTCCGTCTAATCAGTATTTTAAGCTCCTTTAATGGATTATGTAATAAAAAAATGTATCCATGTTGGCCGACTCCTGGGGGTTAAATACCTCAGTGTGTTGAGTTGACAGTTCAGTCCAGCACAGATCAGCTTCACTCCTGAATCCTGCAGCTCATTGTTACTCAGGTCCAGCTCTCTCAGGGGGGAGTTTGATGATTGTAGAGCTGAAGACACAGCTTCACAGCACTGATCAGTGAGATTACAGCCTGACAATCTGAAAACACAAGGACTCTGTTTAAAAGACACACTGGAGTGCTGATGCCTTCACTAGATTAAAATACATATTTAAACACAAAAATCATGCTAGTTATGATGATTTACAGCAGTGGTTCCCAACCTTTTTCTATGGGGCCCCCCCACATGAACATATACAAACATTGGAGCCCCCCCACCATATAAATACACACGCACGCACACACACATATGTACTGTGTATATATATATTTGTATGTATGTATGTATGTATGTGTGTATATATATATATATATATATATATATATATATATATATATATATATATATATATATATATATATATATATATATATATATATATATATATATATATATATATATATATATATATATAGAGAGTGAGTGTGTGTGTGTGTGTGTGTGTGTGTGTGTGTGTTTGTGTTTTTTTTTTTTTTTTTTGTGTGTCTCTGTGTGTGTG